TTCTTCTAGGTCTCTGCTTGAATTTCTCTTACACATAGTTGATCACTAGTTCTCATTAGGTTTTCACTAACATGTTATCCTAGTAGTAAGAACTTCACTAGCATATATAAGATGTTCCCTTTCATTTACTATTACCTTATTTAAAATTTCATGGCTGTTATTCCCTTGTGTTTTAGTTACTTTTCCATTTCTATGACAAAACACCTTGATCAAGACAACTTGTAAAAGAAAGCATGTGATTGGCTTTATGAGCCCATGATGGCAGAAAAAAGGCTTGGCTGCAGGAACAGCCGACATCTTGACACAAAAGCAGTAAGGGGACAGAGAGAAAGAGGGGTAGGCAACTGGGAATGGGTGAGCCTTTGAAACCTCAGAACCCACCCCCAGTGATATCCCTTTCAACGGTGCCACACGTAATCTTTCCCAAACCAATCGGTAACTGAGGACCAAGTATTCGGATGAGCTGGTGGGGCCCGTCTCATTTAGACATCATGGATATTTTTTGTTTTTTTTTTCATGTCACATATGTCCATGCACATGTGTAGACTACATGAGGCAGCTAAAGCTCATTATATAATCCCCTAGTCTTTTCAGCCTCTTTTTTTCTTTAATGACAAGAGATCTCTTGTCCCAGATTGTCTCGGAGCTAGATATTTAGCCAAAATTAACCTTGACCCCTTCTTTAGTGCTTGAATTACAACCCTTTACCCATGTATAGGTCTTTTAGCTGTGATACTGGTGCAGTTATTTATTTAGGCTTTGAAAAAAGTAATATTTGATGAAAATATATTTTATGTAGGTTTGCTTTAGAAATTTTTGTTTGAGACTTTTTTTTAATGTATATAGTATTGGGATAGAAATCTACCGCTGACCTGTATCTCTGGGTGACAGTCTCACTGAGTTGTCTGGGTTGGCCTTGAACAGAAATGTGCTCTGAAGCCCAGGCAGCCTTTGAATTTATAATTATCCTGTGCCTGTCTGCCTGCCTACCAGAGTAGGTAAGATTATAGGCCACTGCCACCAGACCCAGCTAAAAGTGAGACAGTTAAAATCTAAGCTTAGAGTCAATTTTTTAAAGTAATTTTATTGTACTTAGTAATTTTCCCCATTCAGTTTATACCTGAATCAAAATAGCATATTTTGTTTTTATTTACTGTAACCTAAAATTTAACTACAGTTTAATTCTCAAAATTAAGTATTTTAAAATTGCAAAAATTTTTGGATATTTAATTTTACGTACACTATTAAATTTAATTATGAGATTAAATTTTACTTACAGCATTAATATTTATATTTTTAATTATGTTCTGAGCCTTTATAAATGGTTTAATAGAACAGAACACTTCTGTTCATAATCAGCACTGTTTTCCTTCTCTTGGTCTACCCTCTGAACCTTTAGAATTCAGGTCACATATCTACCTACCTCCCAAGTTCTCATTTCTGATCCTATTAGCAGCCTCAAATATTAACAGTGTATTGATATTTTATTGTATTTGTATGTCTGTAATCTGTCTTGGATTATGAATTTCTTAAATTTGAGACCATAGTTGCTTTCCCTTTGTAGTAGATGTTTAGTAAATCTGAATGGATGAATGAATGAGTAAATGGTTTGAACTAATGTCCAATTCTGTGACAACTATGTGTATTTTATTGTTTGTAAATAAGTGTGACTATGATCCCAGAAAAATTACAGATTTTAACATGGTGTAAATTATAAGATTTAATTGTATGTATTTCATGAGCCATTTTAAATAGACACTAGAGTGTATTTTACTTAAAATACCGAACACAAGGAAGTACTTAAATAAAACTTTGAGACAGAGATTTGTTTATATCAAGCAGCTATATAATTAACAGACTGAAAATACCTTTTTAATTAGACCTGCTTGTCTTTGTCTTTTATATTACTTGGTATCCCCAATGTTCTCGTTCTTTTGAACACTGTCTTATTTTGGAATACTTTAGATTTATAGAAAATCCGAAAAGCAGGATAAGTGTTCCTACATACCCTGTGTATATCTTCAATCCATTTCCCCGTATTACTGACCTCTGATGTAATGTTAGTGCTTCTGTCAGAGTAACTAAAGTTAAAATACCAGCTTTCCAGAAATGTACTTTTTTTCTTCTGTTGTCAATCCACATTTTACTTAGATTAATGTGTCTATTTTAAGTCGGTTAGTATTTCTGTAATTAACTAACGATTGTTTTACTACTTAACATGGATTATTTTTTTAAGGCGCATTTTAAATTTTCTGTCAGTGTTTGACTGGTCATGGAGATGATCCCCATCTTCCTGGAGCTGCAGGACTTGGGTGCTGGGAACCAATTTTCATCTCTTGTAAGAGCAGCACATGAGCAGCCAAAAGCCATCTTCTCTTAAGCTTTAACAGGAGTTATTTTTGATACTAAGTATTTAATATCTGAAACCAATTTCTTAGATTTCTTTATATTTTTGATAAATGATAACTCAAGCAGTATAGCTTGAATGATGGATGATGGTACACTGTTTTTGGTATTTTTTTTCTTTATTGAATTGTGTACAAATCTAATAGGACCTACCTTACAAAAGGCAGCCTCGTTAATTTATATCAATTTCCCATAAAATATGTTCCCAGAGTATTAGTGTTGTGATATGTCCTGTGAAAGTTGTTCTTTTTGGACCCATAAATATGGGGATCTTTTTGCTTTTTGTCTTAAAGGAATTTTTATTCTTACTGGCCTGTCAAGGTGTCTCATGCAGTGGTAGCTGCATAGTAGATGTTCGATGACTAAAGAAGAAAATATTGTTAAAGAAATGCAACCTTATTATACCCAGTCTTAAGCAGCTTTTGATTATAGAATCTTTTTTCCTTCGTAATGCTTTCTAAATCTAGGGAAACACGAAGTCACACCCTTTGGATTAAAGAGCCATATTGGAAAGTTTACCTATTTTTAAAGAGTTCAGTCAGTATGCTTAATTGTTTCCTTCCCTTCCCTCCCCTCCCCTCCTTCTCCCTTCCTCTACCCCCTTCTTTCCCTTCCCCCATCTTTCTTGTTCTTCCCCCTCCCCCTCTCTCCCCTGGCCTTTCCTCCTTTCTTCCTTATTTTTTCTTCTTTCCTTTCCTTTGCTCTTTCCTTTCCTCTTTTTCCCTTTCCTTTCTGTTCCTTTTCCCTTTCCTTCCCCCTCCCTTTTCCCTTCCCTTCTCTATCCCCCTTCCCCGTCCCTTCCCCTCCCCTCCCCTTCCTTTCCCTCCCCTCTTCCCTCACCCCCATCCTTTCCTTCTTTCTTAGTTTCTTCCTTTCTTTTCTTCCTCCCTCTCTTCCCCTTCCTTCCTTCCTTCCTTCCTTCCTTCCTTCCTTCCTTCCTTCCTTCCTTCCTTCCTTCCTTCCTTCCTTCCTTCCTTCCTAAATTGCTCATTTTTGGCAGGGGAAAATAAGTTGAGACAGGGTCTTATTGACCCAGGCTGACTTCAAGCTCCTCTTTCTGTTAGCCAAGGCTGACCTTGAACTCATGGTCATCTTCCATTTGAAGAGTGATGGGATATTTCTGAAACTATTGCAATAATTAAGATTAGTAATTAATAATCCCGCCATTCCTTATAGGTTTCCTTTATTCTTCAGAGTCATCTTCCTTGTCTTTATCCTCTGGCAATCACTAATTTGCTGGGAAATCGTTTTTCAATAGCCTTCAGTGAGCCAAGTCTTTCCAGTTCTTAAGCTCACAGTATTAAGGGTGAATAGGTATTATGCATTGACTATGGAACTGGATAACTTTGAGGAAGACCTTTAAATTATTTAAATGCATTTTCCTTGTAAAGCAAGCATATTATCTGATCCTGTTTTTCATTGAGGATTAAGTTATACACATTTGGATAAAATGCTCACCAAAGTATTGCATATAATATCTGGACATTTTAGATCCAGTAGTTATATATGGGAACTCCATACTGCCTCCCTTTTTTACGATAGTATCTTAGCATGTGGCTCAGACTGGTCTCAACCTCTTGATTCTCGTGAATTCTGGGATTGTATGTGTGCAGCGTCACACCTAGCTTTCCTTCTCATTTTTAAGGAGAAAGAGCTTAAGCCTGGTTAAGAAAGTTTTGGATAGATTTGGAGTTACTGTAAAATTTTGAAAATATAGAGTACAAGATATTCTAGGTGATTGGTGCATTTTTTTTAACTAGTTCACTTTTTACCTAAAACCATTCATAAAAATAATTTAGTCTTTGATAATTACTGCATCTTGAAAGCATGAAATATCTTTTGCTTAATGATAGCGGTGTGTAGGTACAGTTCAAGTAGACTAATTCAACATCTGTGTAAACCACACATAACTCCCTAAAATAAATCTACTTATGTGATGCAATTGTTTTCTTGTTCTTTACCTTGTTTTCTCTTAAAAGAAGATCCTCAGAGGATGTGTGTATATGTGCACAACTTTGTGTGCATGTGCAGACTTGTCATTTGTTGGGTGTAGTTAATAGTTTCTTTGATTCTACAGGAAAAAACAAACCTTGTTTCATTTTGTTGTATGTGAATAATTTAAATGCTTTGTAAATAATACAAGGCTATCTGTGGTTTCTAGTAGTTATGGGACCATAATTTAAATAATTGAATTTTAGCTCTTTTATATGGACTTAATGTAAAAGCATTGTTTGATTATTTTTATGAAAATGTTATGGTTAAAAACATGCAGTTTTATGGTTTAAACTATGTAATTCTTTCAGATATGTCAAATTAATGAGCTATATAATTATTTTTCTAATAATGAATTGAGTAAACATTTGGTAGGGTTTCTGGTAAAATAATGTTCTACATGCATGAAGAAAGGTCATTCAATAAAGATTTGTTCCACATTTTCAAATGTTTATTCTAAAAAATAGTGAAGGTTTTTTTTTTTTTTAAAAAACAGATTCAGAAGTGTGTTCTTAGATTCAAAACTATTAAAATAATTTGGTATTAGGTGATTTTCAATTGATAGCTTTATTTCTTATGGTATTTTTTTTGTCTTTCTATAGGGTTGAAAGACACACAGAAGTCTTCATGGATATAGTTGATACATTTAATCATTTAATTCCTACTGAACACTTAGATGATGCCCTATTTCTAGGATCCAACCTGGAGAATGAAGTCTGTGAGGATTTTAGTACAAGTCAAAATGTCTTAGAGGACTCGCTGAAGAACATGCTCAGCGATAAGGATCCTATGCTAGGATCTGCAAGTAACCAGTTCTGTTTGCCTGTTTTGGATAGCAATGATCCCAATTTCCAGATGCCTTGTTCAACAGGTAATTCTTACTTTTTTTTAAGTCTGCAATTTAAAATAAAGACTTTTCAGCAGCATCCTTTTTTCCTTTTCTTTTTTAAACATGAGTGTAGTGAATTTAGGGTTCTTTTCTTTACATGTAGAGTCTCTTCCAGGCATCAGAATTAGAGAGTTTCAGCTAGGCTTTCTTCCATGCAGTGTATAGAGTTGTTTTCAAGGATATCATGGATGTAGGTAAAGTGACCATGTAAATTGTCATATAAGATGGAATGTTTATAAGGATTAAAGGGGTTTCTGTTAATAATTACGTCCTCATAACTTGTGAAAATTGGAACTCATGCTAGAAATAGTTTGTCTGGCAAATAGGACACACTGTTACCTTTGGCCTGCTAGAGTCAGGGACAAGGACTGACTTGATATAAGTCTTCAGCTTTCATAGTTTTCTTGGCTAGAATTACAGATATATTTTGTACATGTGTTTGAAAACCAGACAGAGAACTCTATGTGCTGTCCTGTACAGTAACTACTAGCCATACATAGTTATTACCCCAAACTAACTTAGTTCTTGTTGAGATGTGCTATAAAATGTACATTAAATTTTAGATATTTGATATGAAAGATTACAAACTATTTCATTAACTTCTTGATTATGTGTTAAAGCAATATTTTGAAGACATTTGGTTAAATTATGAAAATTAATTTTGCCTAATTTTTTACAGAGTTATTTTATGAATGTGGGTCTCAAGAAATGCCTCAAGCTGGCCTCTACCTCCTGGGCTCATGAAATCCTTTTGCCTGAGTGGAGGATTTCTGTACCTGGCTTACTTTCTTTACTGGCATTTATTTATTTGTCCGTCTATGTATTTAATTTGCTGAGATTGAACTCAGGCCTTGCACATGCCAGACAAATAACCTGCCACTAGTCAGATGTAAGCCTAGCCTGTTTTTATAAACAAATGACTATTTGGAACGTTGAAATCACTTATGTGACTTGAACTGTTGGAAAGCACTTCTTTAGTATTTGTAGTTGAAGTAGCTGAAAGAGTAGTAAGGAGAGCAGTTTTCTGTTAGGCTAAAGTATTCTTGATGAGAAGTGGCTCATATAATGGTACATGCTTATAATCCCAGCACTTAGGACGCTGACGGAGGAGGATTTTTTAAGTTTATGGCCAACCTGGGCAACATACCAAGACCCTGCCTCAAAGTCAAGGAAAAAGGCTGGGGAACTCCTGACTGTTTCCCAGAGTATTTCCCAGACTTATGTGATGTTGATTTGTTTGCTAGTGACTTTAGATCTCTTTTCTCCTTTCAGTATATTTATTATTTATTTTTAATATTTTTTGTCCAATATTTTAAATTTATGTAGTAGCTGAAGGTTTGGAATGTCTGGATTGCTGTTGACTCATACCATGCTGCCTGAAGACCTCAACACTGATTACTAGGACTCTGATTTCAATCACTCCTTATTACTGAAGTGTTCGAATTGCTGTTAATGGTGTATCTCTGAAATGATTCCTTTTGTGTGGTGTTATCATTTAGGTCACTTCGTTATTTGTATTAACAAATGTTTCAAAACTTTAAAATTGTTTTCTGTATGTGTTGTGCAAGGTTTTTTTTTTTTTTTTAACATTTATGCCTGTGTTTGTGTGTAGTTGAATATATCTTTTGTTAAGTGCTTTGGTAGCCTTTGCTTGTCCTCGCACTATTGGCTGGTTTAGTGCACATCCAGGAGAAACATTTCATACCTGTACACTTGGTGGAAGTACTAATAATAAATCAGTCACCACTGATAATGCTTTGGAGATCTGGAATTAGCATGGTTAGCAACTTGCTTGACAGTTTTTACTTGTAAGATTCTGGTTCATTAGTACTCCTAATATTTCTACTGGCTATTTAAAAAACCTTTTTAAAAGATAATTTTTGCTGATATAAAAGTTTTTAAGTGATGTACAAAGACTTCCGTTTTGGTTAACATTTCTAGTTAAATATTTAAAATTCCTTTATTGAAATACTTATTTTTGAGTTATTTATTAATATTTACGATGATTCTGTTTTGAGTAGAAATGTTCTCATTAATTTGATGGCTGTAATTTGGTCTTTAGTAAATTATTTTTTGTATCCATATTTGTATGGTGTATGCACTTTTTAAGACATGCAAGATAATCTTTGGGACACTTACAGTAATGTTAAAGCTCCTGTTAATGATTGTTTAAATTTCATTACTTGCCAGTCAGTCAGGGGATTTGATTCACGCTTCTTTTTTCTTTTGAAATAGTTAGATTGGTCAAAAGCTCACTTATTTTCTAATGACTACAAAATGGAAGACATTTTTTAATTTTTAATTATGGAATAATACTATATTTAAGAGAGCTTCAAAGAAGAAATTTTATTGTAACTTAATGAAAATACTTTGTGGAGTGTAATTTTTCCAGCTATTCATAAGTTACTTTTTTTTGTTGTTGTTGTTGTAAACATGATGTGGTTTCTAGCCAGACATTTGTACTCTGTAGGTTTTTACTGATAGTTTTGACTGGAGGTAAACAGAGAAATGTTCCTGTCTGTATTTTTCAGGAAGGCTGTATACTGTGGTTATTTTATAACTTTGGATTTTTTTTTATAGTTCTGTAAACTTAGCTCTACTCTACAGAACTCTGGGGTGTTTCTGTAGCTGTTTGCAGATTTCTTTTTTTAGTGACACAGTTGGGTGGTTTGTATTATATTTTCATTGTTTATAGAAACTTCACGCCTGTAATCTCAGTATTTGAGAGGGTGAGGCAGGAGGATTGCCAAGAGTTCCAGTTCAGTTAAGGAAACCATATGACCCGGTCTCCTCAGAACCTTTGCTCACGCTGCTTCCTTCTGAGCAGAGTAGAGTTTTGATTCATAGCAACTGTGAGCTTTCTTAGCAGTAGTATACTTCAGTACCATTTCTGCCTATTTCTTTTTTTTAAAAAATTATTAATAATTATGTATCTTCATAGATTAGTGTGATAATTCAGTACTTGTACACAGTGCATGATGGTCCCTTTAAAGACTGACTTGTGTTGACAAGTTTCACATCACTTTATTCCATGTAACCATATTCCTTCTTTGTATTCAGAATCATTTTTGTTTACTTTTTACATCTTTTCTGTTTTTTCTCTTTTAGAAATTTGTTTTAGAGTTTTCCTTTTTTGATTTGCACAGTCATATTTTCCTTGTCTGGAATTTTTTTTTTTTTTTTTTTCCGAGACAGGGTTTCTCTGTGGTTTTGGAGCCTGTCCTGGAACTAGCTCTTGTAGACCAGGCTGGTCTCAAACTCACAGAGATTCGCCTGCCTCTGCCTCCCGAGTGCTGGGATTAAAGGCGTGCGCCACCACTGCCCAGCCCTTGTCTGAAATTTAATTGTGGAAGTTGTTAAGAACTCTTAATGTATTCTGTATATACCATTTTACAATGACATTCTATTGTCATAGGGACAGAGTAGTTCTTATCTGAATTTATTTTTCTTTTCCAGTAGTAGTGTGAATATTCTCCAAATGTTGGATTATTTTGTTTTAGATCTTTTGATGGTAAGTAGGAAATTTAATGATGTTTTACTGTGAAATAATTGATTATTAGCCAAGTAGTCTGCAGTTATTTGGGGAAATGCTAAATAGCAGATTGAGAAATATTTACTACTATGTAGTTTCTGTCCTGTTTTCTCTCCTTCAGTTTTAGGTTAGGGGAAGATTTTTTATTTCCTTACAAGTCAGTGCTTGGGTATAGATAGGCCTTGTTAGGTAATGAAGCGGAGGGGGAAATCTGTTTTATTCAAAGTTTAAACTTTAATCTTCTCTTAAAATAATACCTAACACTTAGTATTGTTTAACTGAATATCTAGGTATCGAATCCTAGATGTAAAATTAATCATCAAGACTCCAAACTTGGCAAACATGTAACTTATTTTGAATTTCTACTTTGTATTTGTTTTGTCATGAAAGTCATTTCAGTCATAAAAGTTTTGGGGCAGTGTTTGCAGAAGGAGTTTATGAAAAAAGCTACTAGTTCTTTTTTCACAGAGGATGTTTATGAAGGAACTTGGTAAATGGTTAATGCTTTTTTTTTTAAGATTTATTTATTATGTATACAGTATTCTCGATATTCTGTATGCATGTATGTCTGCAGGCCAGAAGAGGGCACCAGACCCCATTACAGATGGTTGTGAGCCACCATGTGGTTGCTGGAAATTGAACTCAGAACCTTTGGAAGAGCAGGTAGTGCTCTTAACCTATGAGTTGTTATCTCTCCAGCCCCAAGGTTAATGCTTTCTTGTTAATGGTAGAGGTGATTAACTGACTTTATTACATCTTCAGGGCACCTTAAGAGCTGTAGCTATACACATAGTAACTGTCAGTTACATTGCTGTGGCTAAGTATTAGGACCAAGAAAAATTTAAGGAAGAAAAGACTGATTTATTTTGGTTTAGAGATCTAGATTGTCAGTGTCTGATGGTAGGGAAGGTGTGGCAAGAAGTTGAGGGCCAAAGTAGGAAGGTGGCTTATTATATGTCAGCTCTACACAGGAAGCAGAGAAGGAGAACAGGAAGCAGAGCTGAGATTTTAAACCTTCATAACTTACCCCAGTGATGTACTTTCTCCAGCAAGGCTAGTCTTAAAAGTTCTGCAGTTTCCCAGACTCAAAAAGTGCTACCAACTGCTGACTAAGTGTTTAAACACATGCGTCTCTAGGGGTTATTTCTTGGAAACCACAACAGTTATCAACAGATTTTCTAGATGGTTAATTTCCCAAGTTCATTAATTAAAAAAAAACCACAGTATCAAGATTGGAATATATCTTAAGTTTTCTGCTGCTTATTAAATAGTTGAATACTCTTTCAGTCAAGCCTCTAAAGCTTTTCCTCGAATTTCATTTAGTTTTATTTTCAGTTAGGATGATGTTTTAAAATCTGTTTTTAGAAGAATAAAGAGGCTATATTTGTTTTTAAGACTATGGCTTTAAGGGAGATTTATTAGGATCTGTATGGAGATAGAGACCCACATT